GGCCCTGATATTGCAGGTATTACTGAGACAAAGATACTCAAATCCATCTTACACTTACTTCATCTGTGAATTGCTCCCTGTTTAAAACAAAAAGAAAACAAACATCAGACTACTCTGTTCAATAAAAGAATGAAATGCTAGTCATTTAATTGATACTACTTGAGAGAATAGGGACAAAGTCTTTCTGGTTTATTGCTCCATGTAGTCTGGGACTGTTCACTGATAGATGAATACTCTAGGTATTGCTTGTCTACTAGTTCACACTGTAGCTAGTTCCTCCTGTGCCTCTTAAAGAGAAGTGCAAGTTGTTACCTGAGCATCACAGCCAAAAGATGGCAGAATAGATGAAAGGATTCATACTAGAAGTAGAAATGGTTTTAGAATGAGAAGGGACAGTGAGTAGCATCTTAGTATAGTAGACTTTTATTCTTGTGCTTAGAGTTATCACTGTAGTAACAATATTTATTTTTTATTTATGCTAGCAATGCTGTTTTTGTAAGACTAAGGGGTAAGAAAGATCCTTTGTCTGGGAAAGTATGTTCTGTTTCACAGTAGTGTTTGTGGTGATGGTTTGTTGGGGTGGTAGGATGCAATATCCTTTTCAGAAATATTAATTTGGATGTCTTTGGGTATTACCATGCAGATTTGAGCTCATGGGATAACTCAGTCCTCCAGCCAAAGATACTTTGCCTCCTTGATGATTTTTTTTGGACCCTCTTGGTACCTTCAGTTAACTTCCAGTACAGTTAATCTATTCAGCTAAGGGAATAATAAAAGGAATAGCAACTAACTGGGATTTTTCTCAGAATAGTGTTGTGCCTAAAGGGTAAATTTCAATCTCTTGACTATTAGTGTAACTTCATATAATCTTGCTTGGTGCTTAAGTAACGAGTTACCACAAGAAGAGTAGAGACTGGAAAAGATGAATGCCACTGCAAGGGGAAAGGCTTTAAAAAAGAATTGCTGGTCAATACACATATTAAAAATAAGTTGTTCTAAGTCATAGATTTTTTTTTTACCCTTTTTAACTGTGGAAAACATCACTAAATTTTAATGCAACTTTATATTCATGTCCATTCCTTCTGAAACCTGCTTAGTAGTGGTAGTTCACTGGAGCAAATTAATAAAAAAGGTATGTAGAAAATAAGGCTCTTTTTGGACTAGTTGTGAAGATAACTCTTGACTGTTACTCCTGAAACAAAGCCATACAGACAGCTGACTGCATTACTGTTAAACCTTTCATATCTCTTTTCCCATTTCCACTGGGATATGCTCTCTGCCATAAGGTTGGAAGTTATTTTCCTTCCATAGTGCTTTTCCCAGCATAGAGATTTTCTGTGGCACACTGCTGATAGAACTGTTTTGAGAGCAGTGACGTTTGTTTATGGTCATCATAGCCATCTTCCTGCTTTAATACAGGAATATATAGAGTATAGATGTCTCCCTATTGCTCAAAGTATTTAAGACCTGTTTTTTCTTCGGCGTAGGTAGACAGCTGTTATGTCTATCCTGCCTTTTAACAGGATAAAAAAGGTGACAGATGTAATCTGTTATTTCACTGGACTTGTGAATGTTTGTCCTGTCAAGGAAAAACTTTATTGTTTTGGGAGTAAATTTTTGAATGATGTTTTCTCCTAATCTTTCTCTTAGTTGCAACAACACTTACTAACCAGAGCATGTGCTGTATATTTGAAAAGTAAAAACTTGTTGCTTGTATTCTACCACATAGGCTAGGACATAATACAGTTTTCTCTCTTCGCAGTTTAAAGGATTTGATCCCAACATACTGTGTGTAGCTACATTGCTTTTTGAGGGTGACAGAGAGAAGGTTCTTCAGCATGAAAAGCAAGTCTATGATATTGCCACCAAGTTTGGGTATGCTTTTCAAAGAACTTTTTCATATGAAGCTGGGGGATAACTGACTAGGAAAAAAATAGGATTACCATATCTTTTTATAGTGATTACTGTATGGATATGTTCTCAGTTTACAAGTTTGAAGTGGCAATAATCAATTAGCTACTGAATGTTCCCTTTGAGAAATATGGCTTGTGTTAATAGGTAACTTTACTGAAAAACTTTAGCTGTCTGCGTATTGCAGAAAAATAAGTATTTGACTAAATCTAGGCTTGATGTTACTAAAATGGAAACTAGTCCTTGTAATTGCTTATAGACGTGGAAGCTGCTTGTTTTGCAATATTAGACTCTATTTTAACTACAGAGAGGGAAGACAAAATCGTAAGGGTAATATTAAATGTTAGTAAAATTGATGTGAGCATATGAATAAAAGAAGCCTGTTTAAGAGGTGTTTGTGTTTAGTTAAAGGAACGCAGTGAATTTCTCTCCCACAGACTGTTTTCTATCCTTATAAAGGATAAAAGAAAGCATTTGGGTGGCAGGCTGAGTAATCATCAGGTAGTTTCTGTCCTTCTACTTTGATTAAGTGTGATTGATGAAAACCGTCATTGAAGTATTTGTCAAGAATATACTTCTTGTTTTTTAAGAAAGTTATTGCTAGTACAGTAGTCTCAACTATTCAAATATATATAAATATTGTTTTATCCATTTCAAGGCTATACTTTTTGAAATTTGTTCTTTCATTCTACCACTTAAAATAGTTTCTAAAGTGGGATTTCATGTGAGCAGCTTGCTAACATTCAGTGATAAGAATAACATTGCTCTTGATCTTAAAGAGCATTTTAGTTATTTTATAATAACTAATGCAAGAAAAGGCTTAAACTGTGAATCTTCTTGTATTTTGGAATTTCAAGATAGTGTATCGATAAGGGGGGAACTTGTCTGTTAAAAGATGGTGTTGTCTGTGCTGCTTAGTTAAGGCTTTTAGTGAAGTATTTAATAGTTTAACCTGGTATAAGATGCTAAACCATTTAATCATTAATGGTCTAAAATGCTTTAATTCTATCCTTCTTCAGGATGTCTAATTCCTCCCCCCCCTTGGTTTTATAGGATCTTCTAGGAAAACTCATTACAGATACATGACACTTTCTTGTTCTCAGAAACCAATAATTAAAACCAAAGACTTTCATAATGCTCCTAACTTGATAGACTAGCAAAAGCAAGGTTTCCTTTTTCTCCTTAGTGCTGTGTTTTTTTTATCCATTCACATCACTTATGCGCTTGGGATCTTAAGTCAGTAGTCTTGCTCTCATGACCTGTGAGCATACAAGTGCTCAAATCCAACAAGCTTAGAAATGTAGTTATACATATTCCTGCCAAAGAACATCAAGAATATACTCTGTCTAGTTCTGTTTCACCTACTCTTCTGTGGTGTTTGAAGACTTGTTTTAATATCAAGTCAAATGTTTTGTTAATTGTTCATCTCTTCAGATTATGGAATGAAAAGAGGAATGCAAAGAGTTGAGTACATCTGGTCTAAAGTAACTTCTCATTTCTAGTGAAGAAAATACCCTACTATTTGCAACTGTTGTGATGCAGATTAGACAGCTAAACTTGCATGTGTTTGGTAATCAAAGTATTTTTTAATTCTTTCTGGAAACTGGTGACTGCTTTGGAAAGTTGATTAAATTCTTGTTAATTGCAGTGGCTTGGCAGCAGGAGAAGATAATGGACAGAGAGGATATATGCTGACGTTTGTCATCGCTTACCTTCGGGTAGGTCACCTTTTGCCTGCCTGCTGAGACTTCTGTTAATATAACAAAATATAGAGATGTCTTTTTGAAGTTGCTTTTTCTGAAATCTAAATGTAGGTTGCCTTGGCTGATATCTCAAACTTCTCCCAGAGGTTGTATCTCTTCCATTTCTGACTAGTGTTTACTCATGGAACTTCATCTGCAAAACACCATAAAAACATTAATTTATTTAATAGTTTCTAATAAATGGTAGAGAAAATTAGATTGAAGAATCCACTAGCAGTTGCTAAATAAATGAGATCCGACTTACAAATCTACAGGTTGAATGTAATTGGAGGCTAGGAGAGTACTTGAAATACTCATGCGCTCACTCAGCTCTTACTCTTCTTTGGATATCTGCTTATGGCTGTGGTTCGAATTAGTATTCCAGGACAAATGGATCTTTAGCCTGAACTTCTGCAGCTGTTCTTATGGTTTTTAGCCTTACTGTTTGAGAGGTGTGTTGTTTTTTTTAAATAGAATGCACATCCTGAGTGCTAGATTGCACTTGGCTTTTACAGTCAGGGACAAATCACTGGATTTCCCTTTATTTCATCAGGCTATATGTCTTTATTCTACCTACGTAGGAATTACATTCCAAATGAATGTTTCTACTAGTTATTATATTGGTTAGCACAGTGGAGCTCTTGGCTTGATGCTGTAATATTACAAATATTTGATTAGTGTAGGCATACTGACAGTCTGACAAGTTGTCTCACTATAGCTGTGACATCAAAACGTTTGTCATCTGTGTGTTTGAAGAGCTACCTATTTCCATAATTATAAACTAATGTCACTGGGACAGATGGGTGTCTTTAGCTAGTTTGTATGAGAAAAACAGAAAGCCTACTTAGCAAAGTTGCTCAACTGTTAGCTCTGTAGAATACACTGGAATCTCAGATGTTGATGCTGAATGTTACTGATAATTTCCTTTACTTATTAGGACCTGGGCTTGGATTACTACGTAATAGGAGAATCATTTGAGACATCTGTTCCTTGGGATAGGTAAACTGATTATTCGTTGAATTGCTTAAAACTTGTACTTTATTTCATTCAAATTATTCCTAACTCACGCTTGCTCATGGGGAAACTTAATTTAATATATGCCTTATGTGTATTGGATGCTCCCTGATGTGCTTCAGTCTTGCACTATGTGTTCTTGCTAAAGTTGCTAGTAAATGATGTATCACGATTTTGTAAATGCAATGTAGGCAAGCATTCAGTAATATTTCTACTTAAGTTAGCTTACTGTGACAAATTCAGGACTTGAATTTGGTCACTTTAGGAAGCTGGACAGTGGTGACAGTAACTGTATTGTGTGTTAAGCAGCCACATGTGTGGGATAAGCAGTGCATTTCAAACAGAAAAGTTTGTAGTGAAGGTCAAAAACTTTTTTTTTCCTCAGTAATGCAGAGAAAGGAAAGAACTGAACAGACAGCTCTTTTCCAAGATAAATTTTTTTCCTAAGCTTATTTTATCTGTTAGCTATGGTTGAGAAACACTTGACCACAACAAAGTTTAATATATGGAATCATTTTGGATGCTTCTGTCCATTTGGTAAGCCAGAAACCTCTTGTACAGGATCTAAAGTGATTTGATCAAAGCTTTACGGTATTTAACGCATAGTGGAAAGTGTGCAAAGTGTGGTGAATTAAACTGGCAAGCTTGTATCTTTGCTATTGAATTCAGTGGCAGTGGTAAGTTCCAGCTTCTGCTCTGAAGATTGGCATAGTATCTTAAATGGGTGGCAGAAACTTGAGGACAATTTTAAAGTAAAATTTCTCTTTAGCTTTGTAGATCTTGAATTATGCGAACTGCTTAGTCACCAATTTGTTTTGCCTCTTCCTTATTTCAGGAGAGAATGACTTTTTATCGAAGAAACTAAGAAAATATTTGTAATTGTCCTCACCAGAGCAAATGCTTTCAAAAACTTTCTACTTTGACTCACAAGAACTATGTAATTTTCCATAAATCAGTTATGTTGTTCCTGACTGGTTGGAGATAGTTGAATAAAATATTTAGCTTTACTACTTATTCACTAAATGGATAAATTTCTCTCATGTATTACTTCTCTCAATCTCCAAAGCAGCTGTAACTCTGTGTAAAATGTATTAAAAATCTGAATTGTATAGTATAGCACTGCAGACCTTGGTGGGAGAACGTATAACTAAAGAAATGGTCATTTGAAAAACAATGATTTCTTTCAATTGTTCTAGCACTTTGGATGCACCTGGGTCTGCCCTGGAAGGAGGGGTGGTGGAAAAAAACCCCACAAACAAAACCAAAAGCAAAACAAGTATGGCTTATGACAAGGTTTAATAGCTCATTGCCATATTAGAGCTGTAACACCTCAAGCTGGCAAACTAGTACACAGCTGGAGTATCTCCAGTTTTGGCCTTGCAACATACCAAAGGTATGGTATTAAGCAGAGTATACAAGGCCTTAGAGTTCTCAGGCTTTCTTTCTACTGTGAGCTGTATTTGTCAACTACTTTGCCAAAAATTTGAGGCTCTCTTGCTGAGAAAATAAAGACATGCAGAAGTGGGTAACCTCCATTTTCTGTTGAATGCTTTTGACTCCTAGTCCTTATGGAAAAGAGCTTTCATTACATACTGTGCTTCAGAGTACACTTGCTATTCAGAAGCACAGAAAAAGCAATGCTAGTGAAGTCTTGGTGATGACTATTTTATTCTTAGAATAAAATCTAAGCTACTTGAAACTGGTCCTAGAAGGCAGTCTTCTGTTTTGTTAGATTATACTTTTAAAAAAAGATAATTGAAGCTGAAGTTGTGTTTTCTAGGAAGTTGTATAAAATCATATACTAAGATTTTTATATTTTAATGTATTTTCTGTTACAGGGTTTTGGACCTTTGTAGGAATGTAAAGGAAAGGATAGTAAGAGAATGCAAAGAAAAGGGTGTTCAGTTTGCTCCTCTTTCTACCTGCAGGTAAGCCATGCAACAACTTAAATATGTAATGTAATGACTTATTTAAGAGCTTCAACTCTTGGTCATAGCATTGAGTCAGTTGTGAAGTATGAGCAAAAAAGATACAAAACATTAAAGAAAACTAAAAAAAGGTGCTACCCTTTTAAATAAGTAACCTTATGAATTGTGTAATGTCACGTAGTGGGTGGCTTAATACCATAAAGTTTTGTTTGTAATGCAGTTCTCTTCAACAGGGTGACACAGACTTACGATGCAGGTGCATGTGTCTACTTCTACTTTGCCTTTAACTACAGAGGAATTAGTGATCCTATTCATGTCTATGAACAAATTGAGGTAATGTATATAAGAACAATAGTTAAGGGGGAGAAGCTGATGTCCTGTAATAATATGTAGTGAACCCATTGGCCAAACTGAATTTTGCAGGAAGGATCTCAAAAGTCTGTTTGTAAAGCTTTGATCACTAGCAGTTAGGGAAGGAGGTGCACACTAATAGTGCACCAAGTAGAAGAAAGATTGCACGGTAACTTTTCTAGACATCAGTAAATGAACATATGACTAAGGTACAGGGAAGCTTGAACTGGCATTTGTTCTTGGACGGCAAAACCCAAATCCATGGGAAACAAGAGTTTCCTTAGTTCCATTATTTACAAAGCTACTTCTTTCACTTAATATTCAATTTGTCTTTAAAATATATGGTAAAACTATCAAGACTGTTCTTTATTAATAGTGCTGCGTGTAGAGAATAATGAATGTGAGGGTCTCATGCTATTTCAGAGAATTAACTGCTGTGATTATTTCTGTTTAGGGCTAGATAAGTGCTGGTCTAAGTCTGCTGTGTTAGACCAGTTATAAGCTACTTCAACATTTACCAAAAAAACCTCCAGAATAACTCTCTGCTTTAACACTTTCGCTGGTGAAATGCTACACTTGTCTAGTTAGGGGAAACCAATATCCTTTTTGCCTTGAAGATGTAATACTTAAACATAAAAGGACAAACTGCTTTTCATTGTACCTTTTGGTTCATATGCTAAAGTGTCTGCACCAGAAAATTGTTAATAGGAGTGTGGAGAAGTAGTCTACAACTAGGATATCACTCTTCTCATGCTTATTCTTTATAAATTTCTTGTGAACTTGGCAAGCAGATGTAAAGTTTTACTTACAAGTTCTGAGGCTTCTGTGCTGTTGAATCTAGGGCATTGGAGAATGTAATACTTGCGTGCTTGTTTAATGAAACTTTATTAATACTTAGATATTAGTGTTTATTGGAATTAGTTAGCATTGTGATCACCTGGATGCATGTGTTCCATTGCAGGTGACTAAATTTAAACCTAACAAAGTGAGTTTGCCAACCAAGTATATGCATTCTGTGGCAGACTGAAAAAATCTCTAACTGCATAGGTGTGGTTATGTACATTTTTCCTAAAGAAGTAAGCCTTGTTGAAAAAAAAAAAAATTCAGTGCTTGTGCTTAGGGAAGCTTTCTTTGTTACAACCTTTGAAGCTCTCTATTCGTAATCAGAGCTGGATGAGAAAGAAGATTCTAGAGCTTGAAAGTGTTTGAATATTTCTTAACATAAAAATCTATATTTTTGTTTTCTGCCATAAACTTCACCCATGAAAGTTATCAGTTGTGAAGTACCTCACTTCCTTGACTGGAATCTTGGAGATCTGGGTCTGAATAAGGATCTTGAATCACTTTGAAGAGCCTGTTTTCAAACTTCTTACTTGCAATTTCCTTTTCAGAAGGCACTTAACCATCTTCCAGATGAGCATCCCAGCCACTAGACTATTTTAGTTTTGGCGAGGGGAAGCGATCCAGAATATTCCATTCTGGAATAATAGATTCAGGACATGGTTTAGGGGACATGGTGGTGCTGGATTAATGGTTGGACTTGATGATCTTGAAGGTCCTTTCCAACCTAGTGATTCTGTGATTTGTTGTAACAGATGCCATTTTAAATCTCCTGGTTTTGATAATGTTTGTTTGGAAAACTGTCACTTATATTTATCTGCAGACTTGAAGGAAAATGTTTACCTGTATTGTGTACCCTAATTACTTATGAAACTTTTCATACACCTATGTAAAGGAGTAGGATGCTTGGCTTTAGTGAAATGCTTGCCATCTTGTGTGTTTGCTGTTGATTTATTCAACATATACCTTATCTTTCCAATTTAGAGGGCTGCTAGAGAAGAAATACTTGCCAATGGAGGAAGTCTGTCACATCACCATGGAGGTAATGTTCTCAGTCTAATATTAATGTGTCTGATACTGCTAAATATTTGTGAGTACATAAAATAGTTTGTAGTAGAACTCCGAAAGATATTTCACAGGCATTAATTGAAATTACTGGGGGTTGGAATCTCCTGGCATTCTTTCCAGAAACTTCTCACCTGTTTGTCAGATTTTCAGGGGAAGTGTCCCTAGGCCTGGTTTGCTTGATGTCAAGTCAGTCACACAATGTGCTGTAATTATGAGCACTAGCTTCAGACCTTTGATAGGAAGTCTGCAGGCTGTCTGAGAACCTGAAAATGTAATTGATCGGTTTGTCCTAAAGTTCTACTGAACTTTGTGCAGAGATATATTCAGTTAGAAAGACCTCAAATGAGAGTTCCCACAGTTTTAAGACAGTCTAGTGTCCCTTGTGGCTAGATGAATGCTGTTAGCCCTAATACCAGAGCACTTAGTGAAAGTATTTGCATAAAAGAGCTGGTGACTGTGAACTGGGCTGTGTTGCGATCTACCATTTGTTGCATAATTGATGTTATGTAAATATTTATATTAATGGCTTCTGATTATTTGGTTTCCTCCTGGAGTTTGGGAATTACTTTCCCTGAGTTACTAGCCTCTTTGCAAGCTATTTTGTGCTTTAATATTAAGAACCAATGTCATGTCTAAGTGATACTTCACATACCCGGTGCTTTACATATGCTTTTCCCAAATATTCATATAGCCTAATTTGATTGCATGTGTTCTACATAATGCTGTTAGGAAGACTTGTTGTGAAGTCAGTTTGTAGCTACCTGCTTTAAACTGGTTAACTTAACACATTTCTTCTCTCAGCTGTCTTGGGGCATTACCTGGCCACAGAAATCAGAGCAAACAAGTGGTGATCTAATGGTTGGAAACTAGATAAAAACTGTGTAATTCTAAGAAAGCTCTATGTGGGGAAAACAAAAGGGTAGAAACTGTACTTTAAAACATGGTGACTTCCTGGACTTGAAACTTGTAGCTACGGCTGTTCTCAGGCATCTAGCTTTGAGAGAAACTGAAAAGGACTCTGTGTTAGCAATATCAGGATATTGAAAGGTGTGTAGGTGATAACATGAGTGAAAACAGTTTCAGTATTTTTTGTTTAATATGCTCTTACTGTCTTCTGATTAAATCTTTAATATGGTGGTATAGTGGACCAGTCAATTCCTGCACATGGGATGTAAGATTACCCCCTTGATGTACTATTGTGCTCTCCCCTGCTGTGGCAGCTGTATTTTACTGTGAATAACATTTCATCCATTAACTCGCATGCAGCTGGAGCTTGTCACATACTTGGATGTATTTATCCTCACCATATGAAACCTTGCTTACAGCATATGTTGCACAAGAAAAAAAAAATGTGTAGCACTTTCAAATCCTTGCACACTTGAACTCTGACTCCACAAATATGGAAAACTTGGTTTCTGTTACACTTTTTATGCTCCTGTTGTATGTGTGACTGCCTCTTATACTGATAAATATTTTCTGCTTTGAATGTTTTTTTTTTGTCTGGCAGTTCATTGTGTATGATATTTAAGATCCATTTTTTTCCAGTGCTTAGTAGATGTGCTGCAGAGAATTAGCCTAACCGTATCAGTTTTACTTACTGACCTTCAGGCCTTGTCACTCTTACCACTGCTGACTAGTCTGTTGTGTGGGATAAACAAAAATACTGGTGCAATTCCTTTTAGTATTTGTCTTGTAATTGTGATTAATAACAGTTGTTTTCCCTATCTGGAAACAGACAGGCTGGTTTGTCTGCCTACAATCACACCGTGATAAATGGAGCTATTTTAACTCTGGTTTTGTGTATCAAAGAAAACAGATGTAGTCTGAGACTTGAGGCTATAGGAAATACAAAGCCTGCTTAAGTCAATCTTCATATACTCCTTGAGTGAAGAAGTGGTCATATATGATCATTCGAGATGTGTAAAGCTCTAAATTACTTTACAGCTGGGGGAAGGACTAACTGCCAGGTATACACATGGCTACAATCTATAGCGGGAACTGAAAGCATGATACTTCTAATTTTATGAAGAGTAACTCCAGAATGATTTTACTTTGGATTCTACTTCAATCTCAGTATCTCTTCTCTCTTCCCCTTCCTCCAGGCTAATGAAAAATATTGTAGTTTTTAGGCAAGACTCACTAAAGGTAGCAATACTGTGAGAAGACCCCCCCCAATGACTTTTGAGACTTAAAACTTGTAAGAAGCGTAACTTCTATTAATGTAAATCTTTATTAATTAAAGATTACACCTTGCAATATATAAGAACAACAACATTCCAACAAAGAAATTGCAGAAGTGTATCAATACCAGCCTTGTACAGCAAGCATCTCATGAACACAAGAAGCTGTAGCAAAGCCAGACATACACACCTGTGTAATGAATTTATCCTCTCAATGCAACAGTTACTTGTATTTTGTGGTAGAATATCTGGATTTTTTGTTTTATAGATCTGGATGTCATTAGTGATACTGCAACTTAAATGACTTTGTCCTTTTAATCAAATTGTCTTTTGTTTCTGAAGTCTCTCTTGACTTTCAAATATTTAGATCTAATTGGTAAGTGTCAGGAATGGTTCTCGTACTTTAACGTTAGTTATAACACTTGATAATGTTTCTAGATTATGTAATGAACAAAATTTACATTTAGGAAGAATCTGAGGCATATGTATTGCTAGAAGAATACACCCAAAATACATAGCTGATCAAATAGGCACTTATTAGGCAGCCATTCTGGGAATGGGAATTCAGCCATTCTCCAGTGCATCAGAAATTGATCCTTATAGAGGAGGTTATCAGATTTTTTTTATGAACCTGGCAGTCTTGTCTAAATGTAGTAGGTCTATTTCTCACTAAATTTGTTGTGAACAAACTGTTGAAAAGGTTTGTTAGTGGTTTTAAAGTAGTTTTTAGTGTGGGACTTTGAAGTGGTTTCTTACGCTTTCTCTATCCCTTTTAACTAATGCTATGACATGATTTGTGACTTAGTAAAAGTTTTTGAAAGGTATTTGGGAATTAGATAATCCTAATTGTAGCATTCGTTGTCCTCATTTCCTACATGAGATTTTACAGTCTTGATAATAGTTTTGACCTTGTTTTGACTATGTCCTGCACTTAGAAAAGGATAGCGCACATCTTGGAACACAGCTTTGATCCTTCTGCTTTCCTGGCTGGGAGCATCTTTAGATTTGAGAGTAACGTAAGTAAGGATTGCTAGAGCCAGCGTTAGCTTCTAGAAACTTAGCATTTAAGAAGCAGCATTAGGAATGCAAATTTCAGGTAGATACAAGTTTAAGTTTAGGTAAATGATTCTTCTGACCATTTAGGACAAGCCCTAAAACCACCCATATGATGTGTCACACCTGGCATTCTTGAATTCCTGTTTAATAAAATCAGGCTTTTTTTTGTATACATGAAATAACATGTACTGAGGAAGTATCAGTAGGTACGACTGCTGTATAAATACAACTATAACCCCTTTGGCGTACAGCATCAGAAGGGAACTGGCTGGATTTGGCCTGATCCCTTCTGTATTACCAAGCTAAGCACCCATGCGTAAAAAATTAATGGTAGATTGTTTCCCTTGCATGGAATGTTCTAACTAAAACTGGTTACTTAAGGAAACAATTATCAGCTTGTGGGTTTGAGGAAAACACCTCCATTTAGTCACATAAGGTAATAGAACTAATTTTCTTCCACTTTCTAGACAGATTGACTAGAATAAAGGCTAATGCAGCCCAGACTCCACAAGTTTAGTTACAGTATCAATTTCCTGGCAGTTTATGTAGGAAAAATGAAAAAACAAAAAAACCCAAAAACCAACCAAACAAAAAAACACCCCCCAACCAAACCGAAAAAAAGCCACAAACCAACCAAACATAAAACCCTAAAAAAACTCCATACAAACCCAAAAAGACCCCACACCTTATTTGCATTCAATTGCATGTTTGACATTGCAGTTCATTGCAAACCTTTGGCATCATTAAGAGGCTGTAGCTTAAACTATACACTACAGTAATTAACTCAGAAACTACAAAATCCGGAATTATAAAATACCTTTTATATGGGGAGTTGAACACAATCTTTTCTCCCCTACACAGGAGAAGTATTTTCTTACCTTTACCTTAAGCACTGGAGACTGATCATACTTTCATCTTAAAACTAGACATTGCTCTGCTAATTACAATGAGTTTATACTGTCATTTGTCAGACATGGAGTAACCTTATGTGATATAATAATGCAGTTGTATTTTCCTCCTTGGTCTGTTGAAAGTCTTAATAGAATGGGCATTTTCAGTGCCTTTCCACCACATAAATGCAAAGGACTTTCTGATTCATCAACACAGATCTTGAAAGTACCCAAGTTGTTTAGATATCAAGTGAAAATGTGCAAGATGTTGCAGTGATGTTGTGTTAATTATGCAGGAGACTTCAGGTATGCTGGTCTAATATACTCCAGCACTACCACAGTACTAGATTAATGCACTGACCTTTCTCAGTATTAAAGAACTCTCTCTGGAAGAGTAACAACCAATTAAGCAATTACAAGAGCAGAGAGATGCTTTCCATAGAGGCAACCAGCTTCAGTAAGAGCATGCAACAACTGGAAGAGCCCCATCCTTCTTATGACCTGTTACTGCTTCTCCTTTTGTAGAGCTGCTCTGCAATAACTGCCTCTTCAAGTTGAAAGGGCTGGAGCAGAGGAAGTCTAGGGCCCCATGCAGTGCCACTAGAGCCTATTCCACTGGGACCACACACTGCTAGAAATCTGTTCTGCATGGGTGTAAAGTCATTCCTGGGATCCAGCAGCTACACTGAAACTTTACTTAGAAGATTGTTCGTGTGTTTCCCAAGTACTTCATATTCCAAAAGTGAGAAAACCTATTGCTGCCTGCTGTTTGCTAGCTCCATCCTAAGCAGCCAGATTTTTTTTGCAGCTATCCAGATGCATTTTCAAAGATGAGCAAGTGTAACCTTTGTAAGCCAGGAGACCTGTACTCCTATTTAATCTTCTCTATGGCCAGCAGGTACATGCTGTCCATCTAAAGCACTTCTCTTTGAAAAACTGTGCACATGGGAAACGGTTGTCACTTTTGGCAATTAATATAGTGTCAGTACATGTTTGCTTGGTTGGTTTTTTCAAAGGGTGGACTCCACAGGAGCAGCGTAGAGTATGGTTGCACCTCACCAAAGTGTATCTTATTCTGCAACAGATTAAAAGGGCACTGGAAGCATGAACAACTTTTCTAATGAAACCAGCTATGGGCTGGACCAGCATGTATCAGAACTGGGAAAAAGTTACTTAGCTCAATAGTCCATGTATAAAAGAATAATATAATGGTGATAAAACCTGAAAATACTGCAAAAATAAAAGTGGTGTTGGACTGTCTTTGAGAGTTGCTACTGAACAAGCTTCTTGGTTTTTCTGGCCTGAAGTACTTTGTGTGAAATGGACTGTCAGTTGTGCTAGAGTGTTTATGGTCTCTGTAATAGGCTGGGCTTCAGATTGAAGTCTTCAGGCTTCCTAGCAGTGAATATTTTAAGACATTAGACTGCTCAGCCCACCTCAGGAACAGGGCACTTGCCACTTATAAAACTTTAAAAATAATTCTGTTGCACTTCATCTTGGATAATTAAGATGCAAGATTAGGTGTCTTCAGAGGAGGATGATGCAAGAAGGAATGGCTGTATTTGTTTCCAGTTAGGGCAACAAGGAATGTGTGTGTAATGGTGTGTATAGCTGTTGATACTATATAGGTGTATAGAGAGTTGAGAAGTAGTGATTTGTTAAGCTACTAAAAATTAATTGTACAATGTTAGGCTGATTTGAGAGCCCTATTAATAATGTTATGCTGTAGCATATAGAATCAGGTGAATTTCATCTCACTTTTCTCAGTTAAAACTTATACTGGGCTGAGAGCCCATAAGTGGTAGATGCTTGGGTAAGACCTGGTTCTGTGCATTGTCTCAAATGTCAGTTCTATATAAATGGCATCGTCTAGGCCTAAAACTAAAAGGTCTATTTTCTGTAGGCTAGAAATGGAAAGGAGGTTTTCTCTAGTCCATGGTAAGATCAGGCTTAACTGTGACCTCTTATTGTTGGGGAAGTTAAGGCTTCCTTGAGCCCAAAGCTGTTCTTTGGCTAGCCTGAGAGTGGAGTTAAGCAACTTTGCCACTTGTAATGATTTTTATGTTCATGGTAACATCTTTTACTGTTATGGCATTTTCTTCCTCCTCCTTTTCCCTTCTCATCCCTGAAGCTAATTGGATCATCCTGTGGAGGAGGACCAGAATACTTATAGGATGGTGCTAACCTGAACTGAAACAGATATAAACATTGCTTTTCTAAGTGGTGCTCTTATCTGCACAGGGCCTTTCCTTCACTTGGTTTATTTTGCATTTAATCAGATGGACCATCTTAGAATTCTAAGAGCAAGATTGCTTCAATGCTTTTTACTTCTAATATGAATACTTCAGCAGCTAAAAAATCCATATATATCTTAGACATGAACAGTAGGAGCAGGGGCTCAACCTACTGTTGTCAAGGGGTTAAAATCTTTTCATTGAACATGTTTGTGAAGGACTGCTCGTAACTATAGTACAGCTTTTTCTTTCCAGTTCACTAATCAAATGTATGTTAGATTTATTATTGCAAAAGTATAAACCATAGAAAATTTGACAAGATAGATGTGTAAATTATCACTTTGACAGAACTAATGATGCACTCCAAGCACCTTCTGTTTTCCAGCACTTGGTGAGCGACTTCATTAAATATGCAACGACTGTTTGGTGCTGCTCAGACACTAGTTCAGTTCCTTGTGGAATTGCATTATTACTGGAGGTGTAAAAGAGGCAGGCATGCTAGCTGTTGGGCATCCTGCTGTGATTCTAATGTGCTCCATCTTGTTGGAGCAGTTGTTTGCAGTCTTTTCAGGACAATTACATCCATAACCACAGGACACATTCACTGAAACTACATTACAGATAACATTTGAGAATGATAATGACTGTTCTTCAGCTGCTTGTGTAAGAGCCGGTGTGAGTGACTTGAGGTGATGGTCAAGCCACATCATGATTCTTTTTTTTTTTTGTAGAAGTAGTTGACTTTTACCTGGGGATACTTTAATACTACATCAACTTGCTCAGACAGTCAAATGGTAGTAATGGTATATTTACAGATGGGGATTTTTTCTTGAGCTGGGCTGCAAAATACAACCACAGTTCCTACCACATGACAAATTCTCTTGTCCTTCAGTTATGATTTTGCTCTTGACGTGCATGCTGCTAATAGTTGTTTTCTAGCAAACTGCAAATTTCATTCTTTCTCACATTATTTGCTTTTTCAGTTGGCATTGTGACTAATTCATATTCCTTAAGGTATAAACAAATATACTCTGTTCTCCAGAGGTGTCCCTGTAATTTATTATTGTGATGACAGTTTGATAGTTACCCTGAGAACAGGGCACAAAAGATGGCTTGAATTTAGCTTCAGATACTCTTAACGCATCCGTCTCTCAAACCTTTACCATATCGCATCATACTGACAAATGGACTGTGTTTCAGGCCGACAAGTTAAATGCTATAGTGTGTTTAATGAAAAAATGTCCTTTATTGTGAATGATCTATTAAATCATAGTTGACCTGGTTAATTAGTATCTGAACACTCAGCCATTTAACAGGACTGTTGTAAGACTAGTGAAATGAGTTCTTAAATGACTGGTTTTTCAGCTTTGCTTTGTATTTGGTATATGTTCTGAATATCCATTTTTTACATGGCAAACAAAGCTATTGTGTAATCGTATGAGCAATTACCAGCCTGTGCAAAAGTTTCTGAACGAAATAAGGTATTTTGTTGATTTAAAACTAGGTGTTAAGCCTTCTCCTTGGAAAATAATTTTTTGCTTTTTAAACCAGTACTGTTTTAAGTTTGATTATTGAGTTATGTTTTCACTTTAAAGCAATTAAGAGGTCTAGGGTTCTGCTTTTAGTAATCTCCTCTTCAGTTTCCTACAAAATGAGTTTGGCTTTTTAAAACTTACTACAAATTCCCTATTTTAATAGAACATGTCATTTCAGCCTGAGCTTCATCTAAATTTCATAGTTTCTGAAGAAAGTAGACAGTGTGGAACACAGTCTTCCTCTGGGAGTATGCTGAGCTTAATGAGCTTGATAGTCTGGTGGGCTCAATAAATCAAATAAAGCAAAACATTTCTCATTTTTGAATAAAAGCATTTATCACACAGTGTTTATTCATTCATGGTCACAAGATTGATTGGCTCCTAGAATCCTGCCATATATTGAAACACTTTGTTTTTGTTTTTCCAGTAGGCAAATTGCGGAAACGATGGATGAAGGAGAGCATCTCTGATGTTGGCCTGGGAATGCTGAGATCTGTTAAAGAATATGTGGACCCCAATAACATCTTTGGAAACAAAAATCTTTTATAAAGCCCTGCACAACATGATGTACTAAAACTTCTTCAAAATTACTGTTGAAATTCCTCCACTTTCATTGTATTGATATCCCAGTAATCAAATATGACATAGACTAAACTTTAAAAACTAGTAACTTACATTGATTTTTTTTTTGCCACTCCTTTCCCCCTCCCCCCAATAAAGTGTACACATCACTGTTAATGTTTATGGATTTTTACTTACAATGCTCTTACACTTTGTGCCCAGTGGGTTGTTTATTACCAACCAGGAAATGCAAATTTGGTTTTCCCAGTTTGGTTAGGCAGCACAGCTGACAGTATTTTCAATGCTGGATACTGCCAGATGTTTCTTACTAAAGCATCCCCTGCAAGGAGAACAAAGACTGACAACAGTGTTTTCTACAGACGCAGCTGCTCAACCCAGCCTCTTGCTAAAGGAAAGCTGCCAGGAGACAGATGAGAGAACACCAAGGAGTACTCCACTGTGCTGAAGGATTAAGTATGTAACAGACTTGTAACCAGCCAATACTCAAAGTACAAATGTAGGCTTTGATTGAAAGAGACAATGTAAGTCAAACTACTTTTAAAACTCTGTAGTCTCCCACTGTAGTACTGTTGGAAAATCTTACATGATTGAGCTGTCCTGAGTTGTATTTGCATTGCTGGGATAATCTTAAATTAATCGTAGGTCAGTCACTAAGTTTTGTATAATGAACATTTCTCACTGTATGTTGAAAACAGGTTTGTAACAAAACTTTGCCTTCATCTGTACTTCAGTCCTAGTGTGTATGGGTTTTGCTCCTGTTTTGTTTGTTTTGCAGAGATGCAAAATCTTTTTCAGTAAAAAAATGTTTTGGCTATTCAAATGAAACTGCCCAGCACTGTCTTTTGAAACAGTAACACTTAAGTGGACACCATACTGTCATCCTGAAAGTGAGATTTCCCATTTTAGTTTTGTACAGTTTCCTATGGCCTTTATGAATCATCTATTTACTTGACTAGTAACCACAATTTTAATTGTCCATTTAACTTTAAGAAAATGAAGTATTTTCTTGACCAGTATCGTATGAGAGTAGGCATTTTTGCATTGAAACTTGAACCTTAACCAGTAAAACAAACTAGAAGTATCTGTCAATACTCATGATCCATTTTTAAGGTGGGTTCTTTTCTGAGAGCAAATTATCCAATTTTTTATAATTAATATATATGATTGCATAGGATAAAAATACAGACTATCCTTTCAGCTGCTTCACAGCTCTGTAGTGTCAGTTTGGACACCTTTTGTATTGGTAGTGCCCTTAATGATGAGAAGAAGATAAAATTAATTTTTGTTTTTAACTATTTTAGAATACTGTCTAATTAGCTCTCAGTCTTGGCAATATACCAAAAAGTCTAAAATGCTTGAAAAATACTGCATAGCAGACAACGTTGAACTTGTTTAAGGATTAATTTAAATTCTGTAATTAAAATGATCAAAAAAAGTGAAAACTCAAAACATCACTTTAAAATGCATGCTGTCAAGGTATTTAAGGAAAACTTATGATCTGTAGATCATAAAATAGAATGTTAACGTGGTATTTGTGATGCAGCTAGATTTATTTCAAATGGTCTTTGTTTCACAACACTTCAACATAAAAATCTACCCTTTTTTTTTGTATTTTCATTTTTTGGTCCTCAGAGTACATATTTCAGCAGCAACCAACCCAATAGGCTTAGTCTGCTTTAGGAAAGCTACTCTTTGCACTGTGGTTAAGCGTTCTTTAAGTACACCATGGTGTCTCAGCAAAGTGAATCTGTACATGTTTATGCAGAGGGGCTTCCTCATCTCACATGCTGCATGATGGTGACTACATGGCCACAGCTGACATCTTGCTGATCACATGTATTGTTCTGAAATAGAGAGCCTTTTAGGAGTTGGTAAATATGAAGGGTGTTTATGTGCCTCAATGGAAGTATGTGTCATAACTATGAAGATTTAATTTTGAAGGAATGTGAAGCCTTTTTGCAGAATGACAGCACAGAGCTAAAACAAGTAGTCATAGCTCAGTAATAGTGCTCTCAGGATTTTGACTTAAAGTACTACACAACTCTGCAACATTCTTCCCAGTCCTTAATTTTCTGACTATGGTATCCCCATCCCTTTTTGTATTGAAATTACACAGGCAAAAGCTCCTTATACTCACTATTTCTAACCTTTAAATAGCCACTATCTTCTGAAGCGCTTTAAAATGCAGTAAAGATTTTTACTGCATGTCAGTTGTCCTATGGGAAGGTGAAATAACAGGCTAGAAGGGTCCCAAAGCAATGTGATGGGAGAGTTCTGAAGAAAAGATTAACTACACATGTAATGGATATTTTTTCTAATGGCCACCCTATTGCTGTCTTCCTAAATATTTTTCTATCTTATGAACTGGTCAGAGCTTAGTGAAAGTGGTGTTGAAATGCATGTATTACTGACTGTCTTTAATTTCACATTTAAACTACTAATGAAAATAGAGGAAAGTGTAATGCAAGTTCAGGAGACCTAGATACACACAGACCATTACCCATTTAAAAGAAATCTTCCCTTCTGTAATACTAAAGTATTCCACCACTCCTCCTCCTTCTTTCTAAAGACTTCCCATAGCTGCAGCCTGTTTAGAAATAGAGTTTGATCCATGCAGATCAGAAGTGTGTCTTGTCATAACACATTACTTTTTCATTTGCTTGACTATTTTGGCCATGTGTAAGTTATAAGCTGTTTTAATTAAGCTTATCATGGCTTCCAATTACACAGCTTCTGCTCCCTTTGAAGGAGGAAAGGTGCAGAGTGAGTATGGCTTGACTGCAAAATGTGTTTACATTAAAGAGACTTTTATAAAAAAGTTTTGAGGGGAAAAGAGGAAAATCAGTTAGAAATCGGTCCAGGGTCTAAATCTTAGTCAAAAAAACCGCGTGACTCTTCTTGACTTGACTTACAGTATATGGGTTGAGTTAGAGGTGTCAACTTTGCCTTACAGCTGTGAACAGAGACCAGGCCAGTTCTTCTGTAGCAAAGTTAATTAACTGAAACAAATTTCAAAGGCAGGGATATATTAGCACTGAAATCCAGAAAACACAAATTGCTTCTCAATCTTGGAAATGTATGTTTATCAAGGTTGTAACTTAACTTTCTGCAAATAAAGCCAAACAGTGTTTGTCATTTTAGTGTGAGATTAACTGTAAAACTTCAGTTGTAATGTTAAGAGATCATAGAACCTTATATTATTAATAAAAAGAAAATGGGCCTAAACAATTACGTGGTTTTGTGCTGAAACTAAACAAATATATTCTACTAACCTGTCATCTTCAGTTCATTTTAATTTGGTGGTGAACTCTTACCTAAGGAAAAACTATTGGCAAGGCTTTGGCACTTGCAGAGAGAAATGAGATTGAATTTGTAAATGCATGCTAATAGAGGCTCTGCTTTTGTGTCCCATGTAAAGCAAAATAGGAAAAAGAGAGTATCAACAAAGAAAGGACAAAACAACACCTGAATGCTAGTCTGCTCAGGTCAGAAATTTCACCTTCTTGGTATTCCCTGTTTGGGCAGCAAGGGGACCATGTTCAGCTGCTCTTGGAAAGTCCTTTCAATAGAATACAGGACCATACCTTGTCTTACTTGGTTTCCCTGTATTTCAAAGACCTGTTGTATTAAGCTATTGCAACAGGTATATAGTTTCCTGCTGTTGCACGTGTGTCTCATTTAAAACCTCCTTGTTGCAGGTCCTGGAATCTGCTTGAAAGTTCTATGTGCAAGAATGCACCCCATGTGAGCACAAGAGGTATTTCTAAGTTATCTGCATTCTTGCTATAAAGCCTTTATGCCCTTTAAGCTAAAATGGCTGAAATTTCGTCTCGCTTGAAAGAGCTGTTGAATTGCCTTATGTTGATGCAGTTTCTTCAAGTATTATTCAAAAACTGCAAAAGTCATAGTATGCAGGGAACAGGAGAAATAATGACATGGTTTAGTTTGTAGAACTATAACCATTTTTCAGTATTATCCAAAGTTTTTTGTGTGCTTGTTCACGAGAAGAAGAAAACTACCTGACAGTCAAGCATTTTGTTTCCCTTCTATTAACAGCATAAAAATGCAGTATTTTTACTTAGATCTAGATAGCATCAATTTGAAGGAGATCTTAGATGATGATATACTTGTCTCAGGATGACAACCAGATCCCATCAGTGTTCCCTTTGTTTAAAGTGAGTAAGTTTTTATAAAAAGTTGGACCTGAAATGCAGCTGTGTAAATACTGTAGCCTCACTGTTGAGGGTTTTGTAGTCCCAACGCTGACTCTGAAGTCCACATTACCTTTAACATAAATTGGTGTCTTTCTCTATGCTCTTTATGCAGACTGGAATTGGCAGGTGGTTGCTTTGTTCATGTTCAGATTTAAGGTCTGCTGTGGTGCTCAAGAGCAGATATGGTCAAAGATATTTTTCAAAAATGTTTGCCATAATGTCTTTGAAAAATATTAGTGCTGTCATTTTGAAATTATAAATTCAGTTTCAAAGATATGTGGGATATAGTACTTTATATCTTAGTGTTACTTGCAATATTTACCAATACAAGTTGCAATAATGGGTACCTCTATGGAAATGCTGTGAAATATTTCGTTTGTTATTTGTTGTTTTTTTCATTTTGGAAAAAGCATTGGACTTTTTGTGGGAAACTTTTATGAATATTTCATTTTGATTCAGAATAAAGCTAAATTTGTTTCAATTGACTGTTCAGAAACTCCAATATAACATTCCTATTTAAGAAGCATTCAGCCTATTTCTACCTTCACAGTAGTATGCAGTAGTCCCCAAGTATGAGGATGTTACAGCTTTTAACTGAATTTATTTGTTTTAGTGCTATAAAGTATCATAGTAGCCTTCTAAAGGGTAAAATGGAAGTGTTCATCACAGCAATAAAGTTGTAGGTATGCAAAGAGATGATGGATGAAGTCCTGTGGTGTGACTGTAATCATGTGAACTTTATGCCAATGCTTCTAGGACTTCAGATCAAATTAAGAAATAAGTGAAAAATGTTTTTGCTTAAAAACCACATTTTAAAATGAAGCTATATTTTCTACTGATGAAGAATGTCAAATGATTGTCACAACTTTGCCACTCAATACCACATGGCTTGTGGTATTGAGTGTGGCTGACCTCCCAAGATGCTTCTACAAAGCGAAACATAAAGTGGATGGTCTCAAGACAGGGCCTTGATAAAGCTACTCCCATTTCAGGCTGTTTGAAGGGCTTGGCTCTAGTCCCATGGGTAACACGGACACTCTGAGCATATGGCTATCTGGCATTTCTGTTGCACCAGTCAGTGCTAGTAGCTCAGCAATGTAAAATTCAAAGCAGTTTGAAGACGATGAACGGCACTGATGTTACGTACTCAAATGTTAAGTTCAGCAAATACTGAAAACATAAAAGGGCAATTTGATAAGCTCAATTA